TGGCCTACATCGCGCCCTTCCTTCTGACCCCTGTGACTATCAGTCCGCTTGACCATCTCCTATGTGCATGTCCGTTTGTGCATGTCAGTGCTACGCTCAGCCTCGCTTCTCAGCACTTCAGTCGATTGGTCTGCGCGAGCGTGGTTGGCTGCTCGCTCGCGTAGGTGTCGCGTCGAGAAGAGGGTCTGCGGCGGGTAACTCGCTTGTCTTCTCTGGCCACGAATACGGTAGGACCTCCCCAGTAGGTAGGTCGCATGCTCCTTCTGTCACTCTCTCTCACTGCTGAGTTTTACCATGTTGGGCTATCACACGCATCGCGACTCCTCCCAGGAGTCATGGCTTTTCTTCGCGACTCAACCTCCTTATTCACGCGAACAGCAACGTATTCCTGAGTGCTGTCCTCTGTTTCGGCTGATGCTTTTTGACCTAACGAAACATTGAAGGTTTCCCTTGCATCACCATGATGCACAAACATTTTCCGGCGTCCTTTGTATAACCGTTTTTCACCAAGCCCATCCGTTGGCCTGTTATACCGCTTTATTTTCTTTCACTTGCGACTTACTTAGGCTCAAATAAGACATGTAAATTTCGCTTTTTTGCACGCTGTTTAGCCGTCCATTGCCTCGAATTCACTTGTTAGTATTTTTTTCTACTGACTCCTGTCAGTCTCGGGGGTCGGTGAGTAATAATGCCTACGACAATTCGACCGTCGTGACCGACGACGTCGACCGTGTGCTTCACAGCTGGGCGAGAGCAGGCACGGCGTTTTGCGCGTGATTCCTTTTATAATCATGGTAGACTCGTACTGCACCTATCGCGTTCTTCGCTCCCCCACCTGGATCCGGGGTCAAGACATAGTCAAGAGGACCGGAGGTGGGAGAAGGCGCAGGTGGTCGGCGCGGCCGGAGCCGCCCCTAGGCGCACCGCCACACCCGGCTCGAAGTCATAGGAGCATACAGTGTTGTCCACACTTGCGTGGGCGCAGCCTTCTTCGTAGTATCTAGTACATTTGAACAACTGAGACGACTAATTTTGTGTATTCATACGGGATACGTCCCTCGTAGGCGTCTTAGATAGCGAAAGTGCGCTGCGATGGAGATTTTAGTTGATTATAGCCTGGGATGCGTCAGTCCAAGAACACCAGTCTGCTTTACAACTCGCACATAATCCCCCCTACGTAAGGAACCCTGCCGATGGACTTCGATTTGAACGCCTGGTTTCTGCTGCAAGTCGCACCGGCAACAGCGTCAGTAGTCGGGCCGTTCGAAGTAACATCTCTACTCGCACTTCTGGCGATTAAACATCTATCGTCTCTGAAAATTATGTGTGTAATATCTTCGGCTGTTTGTTTATGCTTGCTCTACTAAAAGGATTGTGTGCGTGTGCTACGCCACGCTTCAGCAAGCCGTCCCCCTCCCAGCCTGGTGTGTGTTGGCAGACCTCTGGCACCTAATTCCCTGCCGGTGGATGCCTTTGTGCTCCTGCCGGGTATACAGGCCGTATGCATGTTTGTCCGGTGACTTGTTTCATCCTACTCCTCCTCGCCTAACTTGGAAGGCTGCCAACTGGTGGATAACTGGGATCTCACAGTCGGCCCAGTATATGTGCTTATGTGGAGTGACATACTGGTAGTCGCAGAATCAGGCTGCAATGCCTCTATGGCACTCCCACCCCGTGGGATCCGAGTCGGGTATGACGCCACGCCTAGGGGCGGCTTTGACCACGCCAAACATCGCCCTTGTTGTTGTGTTGCAGTATAAATCCTGGTCAATGCGTATTGTGGACCAGGGTTGTTGCTCTCAGACTCTCGCAGCGTCAATGTGGGTTCCGAGCAGTCTCCCCCTTCTCATTTCTTGATGTATAAAACCCTGGTTAAGTGTTTGTTCTGAACTAGGGGGTGTGATGGTACGACTGGTGCGAGTCCGACCATGTTAGTTACCTGCGCTCTCTCCCGCCTTCAGTCTTCTTGACAATGCCTTGACACCGGGCTCATGTGTGGAAGGTGGAGAGAGTGCTGCAGATGCTAAATAAGTCCACTATCACGCACAAATCACTGTGCCTGCTGTCGGACTGCTGTGAGCACTCGGTGGACATCGTCAAGACCGACGGTCGAACTGTCAATAGGACCTCTTACACAGTTATGATAAGCACTCATTCTAAAGGAGTCTTTTTGGTCTAGACTGGAAATCTACCTACCCACTAGACCAAGCTGTGATGCCTTCTGATCCGACCGCCTTCGAGGACGTTTAACCGGGTGTCTCTCCGTTCGTCTCGTCACTCCAACTTAGGTGGACCCCCTTAGTTAAATAGCAGCCGTACTGAGCTCATCGGATGTGCGGGTACAGCCTTGCTTTGCAAGATCGGGTAACCTGCCTACATAGTTTTAAGCCATAGTTAAAGGACAATTTCCCATATTTGCCGCATTTGGTTGCGCAGAATAACCGACATCCCCATTAAGCGTCCGATTTTGTCCTTTTGGCTATACATGTGTTATTCTGGCAGTTTCTGCGGCTCTGGGTGCTAGCGCGTAAATCTGTTAAGTGTTTGCACTCACTATAGTGTGTTGCTCCTTTTACAGGTCACACTACGCTTCACCGAGATCATTCCAACTTCTCCTCTCCTTGCGACTCCTCCACATAAGGTGTCTATTTTGAACGAGCTACCGAAATGCTCACCGGATCCATCTTCTCCTTCGCCACCGTGGGCGGCACCTTCTTCTTCATTTTCCTCATTGTAAACCTCTTTTTCTTCCGACTCATACATCTGGTTCCCACTGAGCCACCTGAACCTCCCGGTGCTGGTTGCCGTTCCACAGATGCCCTCTTTGTGCCCTGGATCACAAGTCTACTCTTCGGTTTGCTCGAGGTCTCCTCTGCGGCCCGCTACCTCATTGCATGGTTGGCCTGGCTACAACCCCTCATTATTCTGCCTCTCCTGCCCATCGGCTTTGTCCTATTCATCTACTCCACAGCCTTTGTCATCCAGCTGTATCTCCTACGCGGCTGGCTATCAACCCAGCTGTCCACTCTTTGGCGGCGGCGTAGTCGCCACCAGTCCGGCGGCGATCACTTCGAATGTCCGCTGAGGCCACCCTCAGCACAACTGTTGCGTCGCCTCGTTGCCGCCTGTTGGGACGTGCATGGTCGCATCTTTCACGGATACGAGTTGCACGGACTGGAGAAACTGCCCAAGGTCGGACCCGCCTTCCTTGTCTACTATCATGGCACGTTGCCGTTGGATGCCTACTATATAATGGCACGTCATGTTATCAAGCGCAATCGGTAAGTGTTGCCCTTTCGCTGTCCGACTTTGTCGAACATTTTCGTACGCCTGGTAGGCAGTCGGTTACGGCGTCGTCCAGGATGGTTCTTCGCTGTGTCGTCCGGGTGTGCGCCCCATCCTACTCAATTTTTGGAGAGCGGCTGGGGGATATTCTGCTTTGCTTCAATGGCGGTATCTCTATCATTCGGCAGGTATAACCACATGGAATGTGTACTCGGAAAACCAAAGGCTGCTGTCGCCAAGTGAATATGCGAAATGCGGTGGTGGCCGCACATATCAAAGCAATTTCCTCCTATGGATAGGACTGTTGATAATTAAGTATTGATGGAAAACCGGCTTCACAGGGGTCTAATAATGGCAAAACAGAGAAACGAGGCGTGTCTGATGCGAAACGGGAGGAAATAATGCTTCGTGTCTGTTTGGAAAATTCTCTCTTTTTCCACATTAGGGTTTTTAAGATTTTCTCCAAAATTGGTTTCTGATCTTAGAGTAAATTCATCCCTGCCTTATCGAAGAAGCTAACCCCTGCTGGGATCAGTCTTCAACTCATTCCTCTTATCTGCTCTGGATTAGACTTCACGCCATCGATATGCTGTTCATTGCAGATTAAGAGGGAGTCACCGCGACCTCATCGCTGCTTGATGTACCATCACGAAAAGCTGAAATTCAAACGATTTCAGTTGAATAGGCAGTTTCATGTGAATGTTGACCGACTTCGGGAAGCTTATAAACATATGCGACAAAATGACCTACTTCCGCATCAGGCTGTCCTCGTCGACCCATTCTCCCAATCCATGCTGGATTTGCCATCCGGTGGAATTTTCGTAGCTTTTTTTTCCAATAGCCGTGCGGCCTTTGCACCAAGTACTCATCGCTGCCAGATAGCGTCTGATGGCTCATTGGTGTGAGGTCACGCAAAGACGGGAGACTACCGCGTGCTGTCGGCGACATTATTCGTTTATTGCCCGTTGCTATTTCATCGACTGCAAGGCCTCTCGAGTGGGGCTTCAAGTTCAAAACCGAAATGACCATATTTCATCCTGTGGACGCCGCTCCCATATGACTGAACACTTTTGATGGCCTTGCGGCTCAACTGGTAGTGTTTGACTCAACTTCTAGATGACCGGCTGACGGGCTCTGAAACCCGGATCAACCACGATTTATTTTTGGCGCGCGAGGAGTGAGCCAACATCGTCATTTCAACCTTCCTCATCTCCGCTGAAAAAAATTCTGGAGTACTGATTACTCCCTGCTATGCCACTACATGCAAGTTCTCTTGTCTGGGTTTCCAAGGCGAGACGAAAGTGTCCATATTCGGTCCCGCAATTAAGATATACACTGCAGATTGATGTAACAGACTCTCTGCCTGTAGGCTCACCTAAAACGGGTCACTTGCCAGATGCGCTGGACCATCAGGACGGCTAGATCGAATTCCGTCAGGCGTTATCGGGAACGCCCACCCATACCAAATGCAAACATTGGTGTTTAGTGGCACGCCCATGGGTCGACTCACGCCGCACTCATCGGGATCCGTGCCGCCCCCTTTTTTGTTGCGGTATACAATCCTGGCCAGTGTCCGTTGTGAACCAGGGGTGTGGTGGTACGCCTGGGTGTGGTTCCTCGTCTTGTCAGCCACCTCGCCCCCTCCCGCCTCCGGTTTCCTTTGACCTGATCATGACACCGGATGCAGGTGTGGGGGGGAGGAGGAGAGAGTGCCGTAGATACTGCGCTAGCCCACTATCACTACAAACTAATATATGCGCAAGTCACCGTCCATGTGCTCATATTGCTGTGGAGTCCACGATGGATTTATTCGAAACCGACGGTCGAACTGTTGTAAACTCGCATTCATTTTCGTGTGTTCCTGTTATGTCTTTAATGCTTCACATCAGTCTCGTTAACGTACCTCCCGGAGTGACTTTCGTTTTCTTAATTTTTAGTCACCCTGTCCCCGTAGTGGACCGCTTCCTCTTTCGTCTGCCGGGTCTGCATCCTCTCCTAAAACTGTTTGGTGCTTTTGAGGGATCCGTTGAGGATTGTGTTCGCGTTCTACGGCCCGACATGCCCTCCAACTCAAGTACCTGTCACAGTACCCACTTAATATTTCTTCACAGACTGCTGTTTTACCACTAGTAGACAATTTCCGTTAATAACGTTTAATAATGTGTACAATTGATAGCTGTAGTTAATATATCATAAACCGCATAAAAGTATAACACGAGACTAGCCATTCGCATCTTCGCCATACGGCTGCTGAAATGTCGGAGGAATACACGTGTGGTGTGTTTATGGTGCATGTGGTGTTTATGTTGGATCTCCTAATAGAACCACGAGCCCTTGGCTCGATGGTCAAACCGCTGAACTAATAACCAAAATATCATGTAATCGAGTCTCAGGTGCCATCCCAGTCTCCCTTGTCTGTGTCGGTAATGTCCTCCTGCCTACAGTACTAGTTATTGAGCGACTGCTGGCGGGGCTCGAGATGGGGCCCCAAGTCACAACGGGACGAGCGAGTCCCGTAACGTGATCGCATGTTTTCGTCAGGTACAAACCTGTTCGAACACCTTTTCATCCGTCGCCACGTGATCCTAGAACCACTGCCGGGAGTCATAACCAATACACATAATGTTCCTTTTACTCACTCATGCTGTTACCGAACCTCTGCATAGTGGGGGTCCATACAGTCATTCCAGAGTGCAATACGACAATGACTAAGCCCTTCCATAACTCGTAGGACAGGCATGCCCTGGTGTTTCCCAACGTCGGTGGGGTCGGGCGGCGCCTCGCAGGTTTGGATACTTCATATGGCTCGCTTTAGACGGAGACCTCATCGCTAGCACTTGTCTTATTCTACCATTCGAACGCGATACTGAGTTAGGTGGAAGCTACGCAAGTCGACACCGCGCTCTCGGGATGAGTCGCGGACTTTGTCGCTTGTGACGACCAAATGACTTGTGGAAAAATCTTACATTAGTCTATACGTAGTGACGTACTGTTTTTGGCATTGATTACTTGCGTTATTTCTGTGCGAATACGAGCACAATTATTCGGCTGCTTTTCTTCCTAAGGGTGGTCTTCATTTAGAATTACTAGGACGTAATACTAGATCTCCTGTAGTAGTTATTAAGCTCGTCGAAAGGCGTGTCTGGTCATACTTTTTGAAAATTTACGACATGCTAAACTGCCAGCCTTACTGTAATATTGTGTGATTTTCATGATGATCTTCTATACGGAATTATGCAACAACCTAAAAGTTCTTTTCAAGGGGGTTGTGCTCCAATAGAGTTTTTTTGGAGGGAACTACATAAGCACAGGTTATGTGGGAAGACTAAATGGAAAGGAAAATATCAGTGGCGAGTTATTCCAATTACTCAAAAAGCAAGTGTTGAGAAAGCGTAATTGCGCGCGAAATAATCACAGAACGGATTTTCTCTATTATTTGTGGTAAGTAGATATCTCGCTACATGTGCATCTTATAGTAAAATCGTGCATAGTTGCAGCATGATTCGAAATATTCCGATTAGTTAGCAGCATATCGTTGGGTATCGTTTAATTCAGCATCATGCACCGGGGGACCCATATTACAACTAAAATCATGTTACCTTTCTAACTTGGCGAGCGAAATTATACTACTTCTCCAATAAAAAATTTGCAGGTTAGCTACGTCCTTGTTCCATCAGTTGCTCATTCATTCTCAATCACCGTCCAAATTTTCAACCTACTAGGCGTTGACTTGGACGAGGAGAGTGATTCGGTGTGTGATTCAAAATCTGCAATTTCTGTGAACAGAGGTGAGGTCCTTTTGATTTCCCCGGGTGGTGTCAGGGAGGCACTTTTCGCCGATGAATACTACTCACTGGTATGGGGCAAACGTCGGGGATTTGCCCGCGTGGCTATTTTGGCTAATCAGGTAGATTCGGCATCCGGTAATGAATGATTTGCTTTCATGTTGCCCTGTTGATTCCCCTTTTGGTGGTGTCCGAGATCCCTTCTTTCCTACCATTAAAGCATTTGAGCTTTAAAACCAACTAGTAGGTGGTGTTTAGTGGCATATACGTTCTCCCTGAGGTGTCCCTTTTTCTTTCCTGTTTTTAGCCTATATATCCGGTTTTTACAGAAAATGTACGTGAAGCCATTCGCGTTGTCCAATTTGGCAAACGTAAGTTTCTACCCTTTTGCCCTACATGCTTATTCAGTTTTGCAACCTGCGCCTAAACCGTTTCAGTGGAACATTTAGTGGCCAGATGCTGAGTTAACCTTACCACTGAATGTGCAGGAGGGAAGCCCTGGGGGGTATAGTATATTTAGGGTAATAGGCAATGCCCTTGATAACCCTATTGACAATGGTGCACACAATGTTAATGTTAAATGCACACCTTACTAAAATGTTGTCAGTAACACATTTTTACGGTGTGGAACTGCGAAGGGTGCGGCAGACGGTCCTTTCCATGTACGCATTAAATTTTAAGTGCAATTATATACAATCAGCCTGGGCTGTAGCAGCTTGCTGCCCAGGCGGTTGTCACCCCTCTCGAGCGGTTGTCGCCTCCCGCGAGACTTTCGGCCTCGTCTGACTAGGAAGAGTATAACCGGGTTCCACTAAATGCGCCGCGACCTGAAAGTTTTCGTCATTCCTTCCTGCTGTTGCCCCGCGTTCGGCTATCCGTGTCCGAAGTAATTTTCCACTGCCTCCACTTTGCCGACAACTTCAGACGTTTACTGCTGTCGCAGTAAGTCCTTCGGCCTCATTACTTGACGCCTGTTTGTTGCCTCCGGTCTGTGTACAGCCCCAACTCTTGATGGTATGAGAGGGCGGCTGACGGCTCTCCAGACATTGTTGACATGTGGCAGCTCTTGCCAAGATTTGGAGCCTGTGTGCTGCGGCTGCCTGTCTCATTTATCAGTGCCTTGACTGGCGACATGCCACGGGTAGCCATTGGCTCGGGGATCCCATCGAAGTTATCATACTTCAGTGCCTGTGGTTCCAGTTCGCTGTATTGCATCTCAGAAAATTGATAGAGGGCCTATAAGTAACTGTGTTGTTGCTGTTGAAACCAAGCACTTGCGTCGTATTTGGCGCTTTCCTGAGCGTTTTGGTTTTTAAGCCACCTATAGTTCCACAGACGCGGACGACGAGGTTCATAGCTGTCCCCACGGGGCGTACCCTGTCGTGAATTGCACATGAACATGTTTACATAGTGAGGCAGCTCAGGCTGTATCTACCTCCCTCCCTTCTGACTCTCACTTTATATGTACCAGACTTTTTTCAAATTGGAGTCCGGAGTATAACCGAGTTAACAGGTTGACTGACAACCTAAGCCGCGACTGACAGCGCGTCATGCTATGTTCATACCCATAAGATTAATTGTAATGAGGAATGCCCTGACCTGCTTTAGGAAGGGGGGGGAATACTTCGATATAGGCCTGACTCCCTCTTCCGTAACTCAGCCGACATTCGGAACTTGTCGATCTACCGGTGACGTGATTGGAAAAACTAGGCGCCCTGACGTAGAAGCCGCCTTCTAAGGCGTCTCACACGCATGCACGACTATGGTTAAGGACTCGTACAGACTCGACGCAGCTCATGTTTTGGGGTGGTCTGTGTGTGTCCGTCGAGTGATGTTCTGTGGTTTGGTCCCCACAACGGGCTGTTCTGTAGAAGAACTGAACCAAAACGGAGGTCAGGGTGGCTTGGCCCATGCGTTCTTGGGCCGTGCTGTGCCTGCGCGTGAGCCCATAACTACTGCTATCCACGCGAATGTGCCTCGCATTAGACCCAGGCCTTCACACCTACTGCGCCCTAATGCCACCGTCAGCCGTTTGACAGCCTTGGGCAGGGAAGAAAGAGGCCGACGCTGGAGAAACCATCATTCGCTTCAACTCCACGCATCCTTCACTATAATTAATCTGACGCGCCTAAATATGCGGTAGATAGACAGTATACAGTATGGTGGGGGTCGCTCACCGATCATTCTTATGGAACTCACTCGTTCCGCTGTGCCTTACGGGCCCTCTCTCGAGCCCAACCATCAGCCGCACAGCGGCGCATGATATAAGCAGAATGGTATTACTGGCAAAAACAAGGGAGACTTGAATGGCCATTTCTGGGTTATTAGCCGTCGTCAGCCAGTCATACCCAACCCCTAAGTGTGGGCTACCCGAGGCTCGAACTCGCGACCTGTTAGTTAGAAGTCCACGCTATGGTGAGCGTCCCCTACCATTGTACATTTCCGATCGAAACCGACGGGGCAACGGGCTCGTGGCCCCGTGGTTAGAAGCGTGGATTTCTAACTAACAGGTCGCGAGTTCGAGCCTCGGCTAATAAGCCAGAAATGGCCATTCCAATCGCCCTTGTCTTCGTCGATAATAACATACTGCTTAGTATGCAGGATGCATAGTAGAGGTAAAGTAATAGTGAAGTTCTAATATTAAGGATCTTACAACGTCAGGATGTCGGCTTTCGAACGAACTTCGTTCCGGTCGCTTGCAAAAAATCACACTGTAAAAGGTGACTTCTTATATAGTATGGATTGTTAGTCTTGATTTTTGAGGCACTAATATATTCAGATGTTCTTTGTAGAAAACATGCACATAAATTTTCCGTTTTCTGCTCATTTGGTAGCGACTCACGACTTCCTTAAATTTTATACCTATAGGAACAGTATAATTCCCTTTTAAAACTTACTTCCCTAATAATTTCGGATCCACCCCGCCGTCACATTTTCATTCAGGGTTTTTAATCTTCAAGTTGCACATTTTCTATGTAAGGAAAATCATACACTTCTGTACGTTATTAAGAAGATACCATGTTGAGCTCGTAAAATTTAGGAATTGATTTGAATCATATTGTATACTTTACAAGGAACACTAATGAATGTAAAGATATGATCTTCTATGAATGGTCGTTTCGTGGTCTTCAAACTCTCTTAATTAATAAGTTTTAAAACCAGAAGCTAGTCATTCTTACTGTAAAAAGTTTAATGAAAAAAATAATTTGCTGCCAAATGAGTAGAATAGTTAGTATTTTGAGCATGTTTTCTACGAACTATATTTGGCCTTCTGAGTGCATCGAAAATATGTAAGTAATCATTTTACACGAATTTTAGTTTATGCGGACAGCCAAAAAGAAGCTTGACCAAAAGCCAACATCCAACGTGACTGCTCCGTGGTTATAGGTCTTACGACCCTGCGTAAATAATCTTTTCCAGTCGAGAAGGCGTTTCTAATTTTCGGTTAACATTTCATGAGATCTCATGACGTGCAGTGTCGTGGCCTAGAAGGTCGTCGACTGAGGAGATTATTCAGTCCTCTCTAAAACTGCCAGTCAGACGACAGCGGCTCCTTTTCAGTGTGGTCTTTATGGCACTTTCGCTGATGTGAGGTCGGAGGCGTCCACATGCACATGTTATGGAAGCAGGCCGTTTAGCTGTTTCAGTCACTGCACGCTAGACCATCACCGGTCGCCTTGATTTTGTCCTGCCATCGAGGGCCGATAGATGAGGAAGTGCGGTAGATGCTGCGAAAGTCCCCCTCATTGAAAACTAATTCGCTCGATGCCGCATCCACTTCGCGGTACTCGCAGTGGACGTTGTCGATTCCAACGCCTGAACCGTTTGTCAGTAGATGGTGTAGGGGACGTCTGAGGTGTGGTGTTTACTGTAGACTTTCATGTTTGCGTATGCGTCTGAATGTGCGCACACAGTCAGATACTGTGTGCTCACAGTGTGTGCGTAAAGTGAAGGCGTGCACTACGGGTTTAGAGATGAGCTCCGGACACTGGGTTCTTCAGTTATGGTGTGATGGTTTCGCAGATGACCAGCCAAACCAACGCGTGATCTAAATGTGTGTTTGCACCATAAACGAGTTGGACCACGTGTTGATGGTTATTGCAACGGTGGTGGCGGTCATGGTTGGACTGGTCGCAGTTGTGCTTTGTGTTGAGACAACATCCCCATTGTTATCGAATGGAGGATTCCCGACGACAGAGAACCGGGACCAAGGCGTACTTTTGTAGCTACAAGAGTTGGAGGAGGTGACCTCCGTGACGTTGCCGATGGTAGTGACGTTTTGCTTTGTTTAAATGTTGTCATGACTGTGGATATGGAGACGTGCGGCATATTCTACTTCTGCCCTGAATATCAGTTACCATTGTTGGCACGACCGCAGAGGTTGGGCGGTTGAAACATTAATATTTAGCATTCTTCTGAGATAGCCGAGCTGAAAATGACTGAGTTATCTATCTTAGCCCTTGTAAACCGTTCTTGTCTCTGTCCCGCACAGTATGTCGTCAGTTTCGCGTTCAGGTAGGGCTCACAGCGGTTTTTTAAAGTTGTGCTCCCACCGATTTCAGGCGCGTTTCGTCAATATTAAACTCCGAACAGCTGTGCTCATCAGGTAGCAGCGGTTGATACATGACTACCGTCTTCGTGTTACCGCTACATCCAAAGTTTATACAGCCAAAGACAAGGAGGTCGACTCCCCGCTTCATCTCCAACTCCGTTGTGGTGTTTAACGTGCAGTGATTCGCTTATAGAAGGTAGTGAGCACTGTCCTTGCGAATCCTTATACTACCTGCTTGCGTTGGGCGTTGAGTAGTAGTTTTTGTCGGTTCCACGAGTACGCAACCCTGCTTCATTCCGAATGCTTTTGAGACTGCTCCACCGTCTCTAATGCGCGCTATGATTATCATGTCTCCAAATTCCATTACAATGGATTATGTTGAAGACCTTGTCTGATCTGCGAGTCCTACGCAGAGAGTGGTCAGCATTCATGTTCATTTACTTTATATTTAACGGGCAGCGAAGATCATTACGATGGTACCGCTTTCCTTTTACACTCTACTCTGGCCTGTAGGGACGTCTTTGCTTCAGGTTTAGGTTCGGACGATTGAGTAGGACTCCGGGTCGATGATTTTGCCTTAAGTGTTGAGCAGAGTTATCGGTTCCTCTTGCCCCTGGTCTAATGGTCAATTGTGGCATCCGTTAAGTTCTGGAACAGTTGTCCTTGTCTCCACACCGGGATGAGTTTGTCAATGAACCGATAGCCGCCGTATTTGTAGATTTCATGTGAAATTGAACCGGTCCCCGTGTCTTACTGCTAGACGTTTGTTGTACGGCGTTGAAGTGCCCTTGAAACGGGTGTAGCGATCATTTATTTCTGACAGATGATTCGGTAGTAGAGTGAGAAGTGTGGTATTGGGGGATTCAACATGTAAAACGTTGGCGTGTCCACATTCTTATTTTTGGAGTGGGCCGGTCACAAACCTGACAGTGTGAAGCACACTTGTTCACTCTTGGTTTCTTTCTACAAGGAGCTGCCACAGACTGGTTGAGGCTCCGCGGATGAGCCGCACTCTGCCTGCCGTCATCGAGGGTGCCGTGCAGGATGACTTCTATGTTAGTTTTCGGACTGTCCTCAAGGCTCAACACAGGAGACCAGCTCAGACTTTTCGGTGGCCTGTACACTTTTTCACAGATTATTCGGTTAAGTCAATGCTTTGTCTTCCGCGTCGTTGGACCGTCATTTATGGAAAGAACGTAGGAAAGACGTTCTCAACAGTCACGAGATAGATTTATTGGGGGGAGGGGGGAAAAAGGCGAACTGACAAGTGAAGGACGATCCTCTCACGTTTTTCGCACAGGATGAAACCTTCTTGACGATCAGTCTTAAGCTGAAATTGTTCCATCCCCCCCCCTCTCCTCTTCAGGTTGGTGGCTTAAATTGTACGAATGGACTCGGTTGCCTTTTGCCATATTTTATGGCTATTTTCCGGTCAAATTAAGGTGAGTCTTTTTGCCTGAAAAATGATTTAATACCCTCCTCCTAGAACTTATATTGGAGACCCTATTTATCCCCTGGAGTCGGAGACAGATGAAGAGTTGGCCGATCGCGTACGCTAATACATTTTATCCTATTTAACCGGCCTGTTGATATCTTATTAAGTAGACAGGTTTAAGTAAATGTATTTTTAAATTTAGGTGAGAAAGGCAATCGAGGAAATGATCAGGCGTCATCAGTGGACGCCGGGCAACTTGTTGGTGGCCCTTCTGCAGCGAATTCCTGTTTTTGACCGGTGGGTGCAACGACGAAATGCCAAGGCTTGTCATCAACATGCAGGCTGACCTGCATTCACGGCCTACCCTTCCGCCCCGTGTCCATCTGTACAGTGCATTTTTTTCTAATTTTTCTCCCTTGCTAAGATTTCATTCCCACTCAAAAAGACCTCCGGACCCTCAACTTTTTCTACCTCCGGGAACCTTACAGAATCGTCACCTCCGCTTCCTTTTTTCAGCTCGATTTATTTTGTTCGTTTTTTGCGATACTTCTTGTGTCCTGCACACTTTATGGACCCATCTTTTTCTTGTCTCTACGATTGACATCTTTCTTTTTTGAAAGCCGATAGTACAAGCATAATCGCTCAGGTGGTAGGACGTTTCGTTACAACGATTCTTGTCCTTGTTTCGGTCATTTTGGTTTTACAGGTGATATGCTGTCACGCCAAGTAGGGTAGAAGCGACTGCGTTCCACCGCCATCGGCAAGATAACGAATAAGGACTTCATTCAACTGATGTTTTAGCTTCACGCTCCATTTTGTACTCACAGACACCTGCAGATAAAATGATGGATGCGTAGAGTTATCACTATATGCGGGACGCATTTGCTGCGACATCTTCTGAAGGAGGCAGTTCCCGCGTTCACCACAGATTGTCAGATTTGGTACGATGACTGTTCGACCGAATACGAATCATTAATTGTCGTTATTTCGTCGCCAGTCATCAATTCGGCACTTGTTTGTCAGTTTGGTTATGACCGTAGTTCCTGAAAGCAGTGGATCAGGAACGTGGGGCGAATTACGTCCTTGTTCCAGCGATCGGGTCTCCTACTCGGCCGCTGTCTCCCGGCTCTCGTTTTTTCGCTTTTTTCGGCATTTGTCATCGAGGTCAATTTAATCAGCCCTAGATCAGACAGGCGTTGGAGTGCAAGCACCTTTTCCGATAGTGGTCCTCTTGTAATTGCCTCTGACAGGTTTCAGTAATCTGCAGCTAAAGGAATATACTCTTACTTGCGAAAGCCTGGTCAGTTGGCTTTAAACTCTACCACAACGAAGCTGATTGTAGTACGTCAGTAAAACTAAGCGCGAACAACACATTCGCTCGGGAACTCAGAGTCTGGAAGTTCAAACGTTAGATTTAAAAAACATGCTGGACATAATGCTCGCGCCTTCAGCTTTCTAGATGCCTCAATGTTGGCATCGCAACATAACATGATACGAGTGCAGAAATGGAAACCGACAGGACAACGTGTTCGATTTAAAAGTGCACGCATGAGTGCGGACAGTGGAAAATGACCGAGCATCAGAACCGTGTTTATTATTCAAAAAATTTTCACTCACGCCAGAGTTAACCCCGAGGACGATATCGGCAGGAGAACAATTGACGGTTCTGGGTGGTTATTAGCAAACGGACGGCCGGTGACGGAGGCCTGGTGTTGAATGCAGGGGGCTCTGTACGTGGGCGCCAGATCGATCGAGTGACTTCGCATCAGAGACTGAAACTTCAATCAAATCGAGACTTGTCTTACTTAAAGCCAACGCAGCAGCCGCCTTCATTTATGCGTTTCTCGTACGAAGTGCTAGTCGTAAAAAATTGAGACGACGGTTCGCAATGTCTCAGTGTTCACCATAAAGTTCATCGGCTCACGAACGAAGCAGCAGCAACCCGAAAGAAAAAGCATCCGGGGTCAGATACCTCCGCGATCACTTTAGATTTGTTACCGAAAGGCGTTTTAGTCGATGTCTATGTGTTCGCCTCCAGTAAATCTAAATAGGAACATCCGAACATATGGCATCTGCTATGCATTAAGAACGTTCCAAAAACGAACGGCCGCGGAGCTAGATATTGGAATTGAACGCTAGTCCAAAGTTGCCGTTCGCTGCATAATCATGGTACTTAGTTACCGATTAAACTGCGGAGAGTCCGTTTTGTTGAATCGTATCCCGTGTTTAAACTGACTTTGTAATTGTACCGGCTAAACAAAGCACACACACAAGCCCAATCTGGCTGTCTGGCGGGAAGACAAACCGTCAAAATTGGCAGCCTACAAATTCGAACCGAGTCTCGAATTTTATTTCAAAGCCGCAAAGATGACTGCTCATGCTATAAGCAAGATAATTTAAAGGGTTCGTTGGAAACTTGGTCTCTGATGGGAAGTTAGTCAATCGATGTATCTATCTGACGCCTGTATAGAGAGGCCTCCGAGTCGCTTTGAGACGCGCGGAATCGCTCGCTAATTAGCTAATAAAACTTATAGCTGTCACTTTTTCTGTTACTCTTATCGTCTCCGTGCTCAGCTACCATGTAGGCGCGTAGCTCCGAAAAAAATGGCCCTGATACTTGATCAGTCCCGGCCTTCCTTTCTGTGCTAAGGGCGACATGTTACGGGATTTCCAGCATATTTCTTTCACGAGGACCTTCCTTAAAATGTTTCCAGCTCTCTAAAAGTCTGGGTTAAAATTTAAAACGGTGCATATGACGTCAGTGATCCATCAGCGTTCTTTGCCTAATCTGAGGGCAGTTGACATTAGGAAAATTTATCTCTTCGGTAAAAGGATCCCTTAGTTATCGAAAGCAAGCTGAATATGATAAGTCAGGCTGGTTGGATGCAACAAGTAAAATTCCTCAGGTGGTCGGGTCACAAGGGCCTACTTTTCGCTCTTTACGCTAATGAAGGCATTGTTACTGCTGGCTGTGTTAAGATCAGGCTTGTCGATGACGCCGAATTCTGACAGGATATTTAAACACCAAATGGCAAGGCAATTCTTCCATATAGACTGTATCGTCTACGGACTTGGTGTAAGCCACGTCTGTCTGGTTTCAATGCACAAGAGTACGTCGTCCTCCGCCCGCATCCTACCAAATACCATTGAGGCCATAGTGCTCAAATTGTGCTCCACTAACTACAAGGTCGTCACCTAGAAATCTTGAATTTTGAATGGGCAAAAGTTGGAAACGATTGCATTAAACCGTCAAGACTACACGGTTGACTATGCGAGCCCTGCACTTGGTCAAAAGAGCGTTTGCGCTCCTCAACGTACACCATTTTGGGAATAGGTCGAAGACGAATTTCACACGATCAACCTACTGAATTACTTTGGGTAGGTGAGATTAAGTTAAAATGACGTCAGTGACACTGTTGAGACGAAGTACACACTCACCTAACTCCCAGTCGACCATGCGGTCACATTCCTTCCTAATCCACTAAGTGGCTAGGCTAAGTGCGCAAACGGATCTACTCCTTTCAGATCCCACTCCAGTGAGTGCGTATGGTCAGGTTACGTCACTGGAGGTGCTTCAGCGTCACCTTTAGGACGAATGACGTCTATGTATTTAACGACATTTTACTAGTAAACTGCGTATACCAGACAACCTCATGGGGGGCAGTTGTTTGGCGATGTACATGGGTCGGGCTTGCGAAAGTTGCAGGATATCCGGTTCCGTGTGATGCTTTTCTGCTCCATATTCACATATGTTTCCTATATCAGCGTTACAGTTGAACTTACCGGTCCGTTTGTCGAGCAGTTTGTGGCATTGCTTGTTGGCAGCCATTACCTGGATACGATTCTCCTACGTGTCGTAGGAAAGTTTTCTCTCAATTTGTTTTACCTCATTCAGGAATGCATTCGAGCACACACACACCCTGTCGAATGCTGTACCGTTCCATTGCTGAGGTGCGCTTTATGCCCACTTAAGTCACACACCTAATGACTCCAACTCATTCGAGAATAGCCAGGGAGGTTTCAATTGCTTTCGGTAATGCCAACCTGCTTTTGTCAAACACCGTCCCAGTTCAAATCCGTACCTCAATCTATTCAGAAAATAGGAGGACTAGCTTAAAAACAGTTCATTTATCGCGGTCCCAATCGCTTACATGAATCCATTCAAAACTTTCTTTGGGTGTGACCAGTCCAGATAATGCTATGTCATTCTACTGCGCTCATTCAAGAATCTGTAAAATATTTCCATAGTCGCAGTAATATTTGTTCTGCACTGACTGCATCTAAAACCATTCATGGTTGGGTATGTTGACACACCTAAACATGGACATTGGCCTATTACCCTCGATGTAAGCCGTCCTTCCTGCAAATGCTGTGCACGGTGAGACGACCTGATTGCCTCCTGCATTTTGATAACCTCTGCGGGTTTGTTCAATCGCTCCCTCCAACATTTCTCGCTTAAGGTCTGCAGATGGAATAATTAAAATATTTATTCATAAGGATCGCTTACGGCCGATTTTAAAACCCTCGGGACTGATCGGTCAACTAGCGCTCTGCGTCCCGTTGAAAATCTGACTTCACGGTTTCATGGGCCACTATTATGTTTCGGGTTTCCCTCGTTTAAATTGAAAATTCCACGACACACGTATGCTACTTAACTTGCGTTACTGCTTCCCGTGATCATTTTTGCATTGTTCTGCATCCTGCTCTCCCTCGCCCATTATTTGCTTTGAGCATTTAGGGGAACGAACTTGGCAATGCATTCTCACATCCTACTGGTCGGCAGCTTTCCCGTTCCATTTTTCCCGTGTTTCGTGCATTCCAGCGGCTTTCGCAAACTGTTTTGCATACACCTTTGAATTTTTATATTACGTATTCAAGTTTCACCTCTTTTAAACGAGCTTCGCCTGCTCGAATACGATTCCCTTTGCTTTTTACATTTCCGCCTTTCCCTTGGCCTGTCCTAAGGTTCCATCCATAAAACCCCTCGTACTACTATTCCTGCACTACAGGCTCCTAGGGTTTTTCCACCGCAGGACCAAACCTAACCGGTCGAAGATTGTGAATGCACCGTAAAGCTCACCATCCCGTCCGAGAAGCCGTTGGGCTTAGGAGCGGTAACGTCGCTATTAATAAAACCATATGTATGTGAGGTCAAAAAACCTAATCAGTTCTTAAATGATAGAACTAAACCTGCTTGCCTCCAGAACGTTTTGGCGTGGGGCCCATGAATCTCTGCATATGAAATAATTTGAAGTAGTATAAGAGGGATAAAGCGTTCAACAGTAGTCCATTAAACCAGTTTATGCTGTACGGGTTCCTGGGTAATAAAGTAGTCCAGAGCTCAAGCTTATGTGATCTGACATAGGCAGATTTTTATCAAAGGTGGTTTGCTATGTCTTAGTAAACAACGAGAAGAAGTGTATTAAAGTCTTTGAGTAAATACTACTAAATCTTTCCGTTCGTAATTGCGATAGTTTAGTAAAAAAAAAGGATACAAACACTGCCACTGTGGAGGGGGGACAATTAATTTTACAATAGAACATAACTGATTTCGTGAAATGTTTTTCGCTTTTTTTGTGGTCATGTAGTGCAAATCCTCGCGCATTTCGTGCCGATGGTCTTCTCTACTTGCACCTACTTATCCTCCTCCTGTTTTTTCTCCTCATCCTCTTCACCCTCGTCATCATCATCATCACCAGCATCGTCATCCTCTTCCTTCTCCTCCTCGTCTTCCTCCTCCTCCTCCTCCTCCCCCACCTCCTTCTCCTCCTCCTCCTCCTCCTCCTCATCATCATCATCATCATGGAAAAAATCATTGTCATGCTCATGATCATAATCATGATCATCTTCGCCATAGTCACCGTCATTGTCATCGCAATTATCATCATCGTCGTCATAGCCATCAGCATTTTCATGATAATCGTTGTCATCATCGTCGTCATGTTCATCATCGTTGTCATTATGATCATCTCCATTGTCATCATCTTCGTCACGCCTATCAACAAGGTCACCCAAATAGTCATCATCGTCATCACCTATTTCTCCTTCTTCCTTTTTTTTCCTTCCGTCACCATTGTCATCACCATGACCACCATCGCCGTCGTCATGATCGCCATCATTACCATCCTCATCTTCGTGGCCGCCATCACCGTCGAAATCGCCATTATCCTGTGTCACGTCACGATCGCCGTTGGCCTCCATTTCACTTCCACTCTCTTCCTCTCCATTGTCAGTGACTGCCTCAGGTAGACTGACTTCAGTTACTCCATCCAACTCTGCCACTTCTGTGACAGCTTCCGTCTGCCCTACGGTACTTGGGTAAGCTTCAGCCCTGTCGAGTGCTAAAGCCATCAGAAAAAGTGTCCCGACAAGGGAAGGGAAAAAACGCATTTTTGTTCTGAAAACAAACGGATCGTGGTCCACTCTGTTGTGTCGCTTAATTTATACTGCCGAATATTGTGAGCTAGACAATAGTTTAACCTTGGGGTGGAGGTCACAGGCATGTAGAATTGTACACTGCCTCCGTTGGATGATTGGCTAGTGCGATTCAGATAGGCCAATGTGCAACTGACCTTGGCAAGATGCAATGGTGCATTTGGACGAGTCGCACCTGATAAGAGGATTGGCGCGCAAAAGCGGGCTTCGGACTCATTGTAGAAAATCACCTTAAAAGAAGTTTGAGCAAAGATTAACGAGGCAGATTCAGCCACAGCAAAAGCAGCACCATAAAGCACTTTTGACGGAAGTCGTTTAGTGTCCCTGAAAGATATTGGACCAGATGTTTACCCATAAATTATAAATCAGCAGGATTCCAGATAGGAGAATATGTACTAACCGACTACTTATAAACACGACTTCCAACAGTAGGCTGAGGCCAACCTTGACCATTTCTACTAAACTACAAAAACTAAAAATATGAATTACGTGATGTTTGATATCTGATGCGCTGGATGGCATGGCGTAAAATATTTAGACGCATGTCAGTTCTCGATGGCATGTTTTTGGGATAAGGACAGACCCCATTTTTGAGGTAAGCTGAAAGAGGTTCCTGACTGTTACACATTCTATGCAAAAAACAGTCATTTAGAGTAGATGTAAGGAAAACATATGGCCGAATTTGTAAGGTACTGTTTGGATAAATATGCTTTGAAATCAGCTGTAATAGTCGAATTTTCTTTGGTGTCAGTTAAAGAAAGCCTGATGGCAAGCCAAGTCTTCTGAGTTGAGTACATGATTTAAAGCCCAATGACCAAAAAATAAATTTGTCGACCAAAGCATATCGAATAACCAGTAGACCTTACGTTTGATATTGCGATATTGAAATTAGAATAAACTGGAAATTCATATATTTTGGTTAAAACCAGAGAGTTAAATAGCGGCTGCTTACAAAACGACGAACAGTCAAGGGAATTCAGGTATACGAAAGCAGACTTAGTCGCATTCCATATTAATATGCATTCCTCTTACACGATATTTCTGAATTCGGATATCGTATTGTGGGCCACATTCCGGTAAGGATCGGGTGAAGGCCCTCAAACATCTGTGGCATAGAGAGAATACCTAATATACTTATTTAAGTGGGTTTTAGTCGGACACGATTATTTCGGTTTGGGGTTTCAGCGCTGAGCTAATTCCGCATGCTCTCAGCAGAAAAAATTGCATAAAACGATCAAGGTATAACCAATGTGGTAGGACATTATTAGGTTGAAATTTCTTTGCCTTCCTGACTAAATGTTAACTTACCAGCGGCGTTTTATTCAAGGTCCGTTATTTTTAAAACTTGTTCTTTGTTTATTCTTGTAATTATCGCGCCCAATTACCAACCAACTGGCCATGCACGATAAGACTTTCGGCAGAAATTTGCCTCTTTTCTGCTTCTTCTTGCTCCCTGTTCTTCGTGTTTTCCCACCTGTAAAACCCCCTCTACCACGATTCAACGCATGACACAGTCCGCATAATAGCTCTAATTAGTTGCCGAATGCTCCGCTATGAAAATAATTGGTACGTGCACCCCACCCACAAACGACTGGTTATCCGAATGCTTGCATTACGCATAGTCTGAAATAGACTGAGAATCACACTGGGAAAGACTTTTGTTGCAAAATCGAAGAGTTTTATGTGGCCGTGGCTGCCCCATTTCGTCTTTTTTTCATTTTTTTAGGACGGGCGCGAGGACAGCCGAGCGCAAGTAATCAGGGACGATCTCATCTCCCAACGCCCGCCTAACCAATTCATAGGGCATGGGCACCAGAGAAGTGTCGTTATAAGACTTATAGGCCTTGGCGAGGGTGCCGTCCTGTCTGGACGTCTTGTTGTTGTGCAACCTCAGTATTACCTTGTTTATTTCGCTCTGAGTGTGCGAGTCGTTCGATATGCCATTGGCTCTAAGGGATAAATCGCTGTTATGCAGGGTGGTGTGACGGGTTCCTCATTGAAATTGAGAATGTGTACAAAATATTCATGAAAAATAAGCCCAGTGCCGTAAAGTATGCAGTTTCTTGTTTTTTTTCACTTTACTCTGTGCGATTATTCTGGTCCCGGCAATATTTAACAGCCCCCTGCGAAGAAGCCTTACAATAGGCATCTTTAGGTGTCGATAGGAGGTTCCTTTCTTTGGAAGATGTCGTTGGCGTGAAGATGGAGATCATGGCGATTTTGATAGACCGCCTCTCCAGCTGTATGTAAGCTACCTTGGCTAATTGGCTAATTCAACACGCCTCTAAAACGGGCCGCGTGATAAATTCACTAGACCAGCCCAAAAGCTAGATTGTAGTCTGGCAGACGTTTACAGGAATGCGCTCTTACAACATATGCCGGCATTCGGGGTGTGGAGGCAAGTCTATTTGCCGGCTGAATCCACAACAGTTCGGGTCCGCGCCGTGTCCCCCTATTTGTGTTATGGTAAGAAAATCCTCGTCAGTGTACGTTGGGGCACCAGGAGGTGTGGTAATGCGCCTGGGTGGGGGTTTTCGCCCTACCGACCTTCAATGCCATCTTTCGCCTCCGTTCTTCTTGACTCTGCCTTGGCACCGGATGCAGGAGGGGGGGGGGGTAGGGGGAGAGGTTGTGATAGATATTTCGCAAGTCTGCCATCATTCACAAGTCCCCGTCCCTGCTTCAAAACCTGTTATGAAACGCATGGTGGACATCGTTGGTCACGACGGTCGAGCTTTCGTGTCGTCGATTAATGCAGCACAATCAATGCATAGTTCGTGTAATGCCACATCGTATCCGCTTGGAGAGTTGCCCCCGAAACTGCAATGTCGGATGAAGAATGTCTTCATCCTTTTGAGTTGTACTAATGCGAAGGATGATACTCTGTATGCGATTTCAGTGATTATTTACCTGCAATGAAGTCATCTTGCAGGGTTTACAAAATTGTCGTTATCGATAGGGCCCTATTTAATCACGTCAAACGCGAACGGAACTGCATCATACAACGGAAAGTCACAAGATGTCACCGAAGTATTTCTGACAAATCAATTGTGATCCGTTAGGGGAAAAGAATAATTTCAGAGCAAATAGAAAAAACGAGTATATGCTTTTTTATAGTAGGCTGAAGTGCCGCCTCCCGAGCCACTTGTACTGTTCATGTATTTACATTGTTGGCGCAAACTTCTTCCTTTAAATTCGAGTCAGTGTGAGTTATCGGTCAAGTGCGTAATTTGCAGGTGCATAAAACGCAAGTTTGCATAGCATCTTATTCTCACATAGGTTTGCACTGGGCGCTTGTGGTCATAACAGGTTCTGTGAATGTCTCTGAGGATGGATTCGAGTGAGAATCCGGAACGTCAGGCCAGTAAATTTCTTGTTCCAGTGATCGCATCTTCGTCTTCTGAGTTTCAGTTCTGTCCGGAACCGAAGAAAGGTGAGACCACAAAAACCCCGCTGCGAAATGAATGGCCGAAAATACAAGTAATTTAACGGATTGGGACATGGCTTTATGCATGTCTGCTTGTTTAATTTCGGCTCTGCATTCTCGTATTGTGTAAGCATGCGCCGACCCCCCTATTAGTCCAAGACAGCTTCTTGAAAGTGACTGCCATTGCATCTGGCCTTCAGAAGGCAAAATGTACCTACTGTGGAGGAATACTAGATTGTCATGCAGGCGTTTGTAAAAATTATGTCATCGCCTTGAGACAGAAGTTATAAAATGCGAGTTCTTAAGGAGCACGTATTACGGCACAGAGTGGATTGAATGAGGAAACTAGAATTTAAACAATACAGTTTATTCTGGCACACGGTGGCTAATTACGCGTAAGGCCGTCATATATTGCAGTCTATTCTCCCGGCAGTATTATCTCTTCCGGTCACGTACTTTTAAATTCTTGCGGTATTAACCCGCATTTAACTACCACGTCCATTGTATTCAACTTTCTTCGAATCCATTCGTTTATTGTTCGTAGAAAAGCAGCTGGTAGTCTGCAACAGTGCGCATACTTCCATTGTCTGTTTGGTCCAAACAACGTGTGTCCTCGCGTCAGTGGCATGCGTTTGAAGTGTCACTTTCTTCCGTAGGCACTTGAAGTGGTCCGGTATTTGCGAAGAAATAGAATGTCAACTTAAAATGTCAAATCCTCCGTATACCGTTGCATTGCTTTCTTACATTCGCCATTTCTTTTAAATTATTGACCAAAATCTAACCCAAACATAAACGATTACTGTAGAAAGTGGTTAGAGCTTTACTATCACCAAATTGACAGAGTTTAACATCTCAAATGGCGTATACTTTGACTTGAATTTAGTGCTGCATGAGGACAGTAAAATGAATACCTGCATTCCTTCATCGTGGTGGTAATACCCCATTGATTTTGCATAAAAAGATATTTGTCGTTTTGCGCACTTTGCGTTCACTTTTCGATGTAACCTAGAAGTGAGCATTTGAGACAATTTAGTGCTATAATGACAATGCGACCGAAATTAAAATTTGAACAGACATCGCGAGGCTTATATGCAGTTTAAGACATTTTGGGCAGTGGATCACGTTAGGAACGCAACCTTGAAGGATATACTGACAGTAATGCGTAGGCTCCAAGCATTGACAGATATGGTAGCAACTGTATCCGACTAGTTGCCACGTTTGGGATAGCATAATTCTCCTGTTCGATTAGAGACGAAGTAGATATACTTTGTTTTAAAAATAGAGGATTCAGTGAGGTTAGAACTGTCTGTTGGAAGAACCACCCCAAATAGGGGTTTTTTCAAATTCCTGATCAGAAGTTGCATATTGTGTTTTAAACTGTTTTGACCGAAGACTATTTGTCAAATTTCTGTTGCCCTTCGCAGGCAATATTAAGTTTTTAAACGCTAAGTGAGCAGCCTTCTTGATCAAATCAGGCTATAAGTTCTTA